TCTGAACTTCTAAATATACTTTGCTTTTTTAGCCACTTTGCAACATTTGTGTCTTTCTTTTGCCTTTTTGTCTTCTATAGTTAAACCTCAGTTAGAGGTTTAAGCTTATTTTTGTGCATAGCAGTGTCTTAGTAGCATCACAAACTAACTTTGAAGTCATTACAGAAAATCAAGTGTTGTAACAGGGCTAATCAGAATTCTTCTGCAGGATCCTAGCTCCAATGTGAGAAGTTCAAACTGATGAACCATGTGTGCCCTTAGTTAGGGGCTGGTACACTTAGATATACGTGTTCTTGGTTTTGACCTTGAGCTTGGTCTCCTCCAGATGTAACCCCTGTCTTTTGTCAGGGGGTATCATGGCCCCTGTTTGTGTAAATTCTTGCCTCCAGAAAAAAGTGTCTCTTATCTGATTAATTGCTGGAACTGGACAGAGTGTGCATACTCTGTGTTCAAGAAGCGTTTGGACAATGCTCTTGGATATATGGTTTAACTTTTAGGTTGCCCTGTGAGGAGTCAAGAGTTGGACTGGATCCTCATAGATGTCTTCCAGCTCAAGAGAGTGATTCTCATTTCATACCAACACTTCTATACTTCTGAATAGGTTCCCTGCAGACATTTGGAATACATCCACTCTTGAGATAAAGCATAAAATAATACTGTTTAAAAACAACCTGTGAACAGTTTCTCACTGTGGTGCATTAATGTTATTTGGACTTAAAGCTTTTGGGGCATTTGGAATCTTTTCTTGTAGCTTATGACTTCTTTTTAATACCTGTTTTCTTCTTTTGGGGTTTATCTTGTTTTGTTGATGGCTGTGTGGTTGCATAGTGAAACTCTCTTTCTTCCCAGGTTCTGCTGGCTTGCCTTTTCCATCCATCTCTTGATCCCAGTGCTGCTTTTGTGGTTCCATAAATCTGTTCCCTTCTATCAGTACCTTAATTTTGACTGCAGTAAAGTGTGAGAGTGGAGTGGAGCTGGAGAGGGCAGCTCCCCCGTTTCTGCAGGATCAATCTTTCTAAATACTGCATCTGTAGCAGAATCTTGGTTTATCCAGAGTATGGTTAATGTTAACCCCTTTTTTTCCTAGCCACATGGATATTTTCTAAAGGCTTTGAACAAATGGACTTAATGTATGCAGTGATACTGATGCATAACTGTGCAGCTGGAAGTTGCATAAGCAGAAATGTCATGATTTATACAAACTTGAACTGATTGCTGAAACAGTCTTCATATCAGTGTAGCTGAGAAGTTGAAAACAGGCGTTGAAAAACTGTGTGTCAGATCGTCTTTGAGTGTGGGTAACTCTCTTCACCTTACCCGCTGAAGCTGGAATAAATTTCTGCAGGATTTTCTGTTCCAGAGGCTCTGTGTGTACTGTGGTTTGCTTTACCGATATATAGTGTTTACCCTTGCATTCTGCTTTTTCTGCCAGCTAGTTAAGTGTTCTAGCGTTTTCTTTTTTAACGCCTAAAGCAGCATTTGAATTTTTCAAATAAAGCATTGCTTTGTACTGATCATCTCAGTTCTTCAACAAAACTCGTGTAAAAATGCATCAGAGAGATTTAAGGATGAACCAGGTCACTTGTAGTTTGTTTTTGGCTTCACTAACAGATCTTCTGTTCTCAGCAGTGAAAGGAGGCAGCTGGGAATTTTTGTAATATTAATGCTGATAGAAGAAGCTATTACTGGAATAAGAGGAAGCTTTTGTGATCTGTCCAGATCACTGTCGCTAAGCTATAAGTAGGAAATGGGCACTGTCTTGTACTCTACGATGCTGCTCCTTAGCAAGCTGCCCAGCACACAAAATCTCCGTCATGCTGGCACTTTGATCAATCACTGCAGTGTCAGCAAAGCAGATGAAGAAATGAGATTTGCATTGAGATATGGGCTGTGGGTCTTTACTCTGAAGAGAGGAGGAAAAAAAACCAACAACAACAACAAAAAAAACCCCAAACCACAAAAACCCAAAACCCCCACAAATGCAACACCCACACACACACCCCCGCCCTGCCATTGTGCTGAAGGATGTAATACTATGTTTTGTAATAAATCCAGTTAACTTACTGTGAAACTGCTGCACTGGCATCCTTTTATCAATTTCTGTTTTCAGGTGTAATGATTAAAGCTAATACATATTAATTGCAAAATGGAGGATTCTATTTCAATTTATAGAAATAGCCTTTCTGAAGTCTGATTGTTTTCTATTTGCTTCTAGTTCAGGAATCTCGATCTAATGCTATCAGTAAGTGTTTAATACAACCTGTCTTTGTCTAGTTCAGAAAAAGGACACTTTTTTTTAACAAAGCAGTTTTTATCCCTTTTTCACTTGGTAGCCCTTAGTATTGGTTTGATATTCTTAATGAGTTATATTCTTAACGAATTGATAAAAAGCACATGTAGATAGCTTTTAATTACAGATGAGAAGAACGCTTTCATGCAAAATTGGGGGGGTGTTAAGTCTTAAAACTCTTATTTGTATTGACATCAAATGTCACTTGTTACCTGTCTCTTCTCAGAAGTATTAATTTTATCACCAATATTGGATAGCTTTTTAAAAAGGAGACTGAAAATTATACTGGAAGTGTTTACATGTGGGACTGATAGCATTTACTGTGCTTTATGTGATGGAACCAGTGTCGTCTTGCCAGACTGGTACTTTTCCTGATGAAAAGTTCTACCAAGTTTAACCATAAATGGAGATTTTTCTGTGTAGGATCCCTGTCTCATTTGCTGCAGGGAATTGCAAGGCAACAAGTGAAAAACAGGAAGATTAGGGAGGATCTTGTAGTTACAGAATTTGAATACTTACCCAAGAGACTTAGTGATTTGAAGGATTTTAAGTGATTGAAAATAAAGTTATTTGCAAATGGTGTCTCATTGTGTTCAGAACAGTCTCAGGTCAAGCATCCAGATGACTTACAGAGGTGTTGAATACTCATAGCTTAGTAGCTGGGGGCTGTGGACAGATGAGCTGTGTAGTGCTACATATCCTGGAAAATCAGGCTTCGGCTGAGCTCTTGACAGTCCTGTGTTTGTTAGCTATTACTAAGGGGGGAGCTTCTTGCCCAGTTGTCTCGGGAGTCCTAGGATCATAGGTCAAAACCCACGTCATTTGTTGTTCTAGTGAGAAGCGCTGTAGAGGACAGGGTAGATCAGCACTGATCTGCGTGCTGAACTGTGTGGAATAGTACAAAACACGGGACAGCTGCTCCTCCAGTATTTTTGTCTGTATTGAAAGGGAAGTGAAGAAAAATCATATATAATGGTCTGTTTTGAGTGGAAGCTGCTGTGGCAGTTGAAAGAGGAAGATAAAGTTTCTTTGAACTCTGTGTGGCCAGCCAGTACTTTCTAACAGTTCAGCTGTTTAGCTTAAATAATGGCACTGACCACAAAGTATGTTTTTGTGTTTGAGGTATAGAAGAAAACTACTTTAAAATTGGAACAGTAGACTTCATAGCTGGCTGAGAACAGGATATTCAATAAAGTAGATCTGGCCTGAGTGTATACTAGGATAAATATGCAGATGGTACATGAGGTCACATGAAGGGAGAACAGGGATTTTGTGCATTGTTTCTAGGAGTGGCTTTTTATTTAAATTCAAAAATACCCCCCCTTTGGATTTAATGAGAATGCAGGGGTCAAATGAGAAAAAAAAATGACTAATTGTTTACCTGCTGCTTTCTTACTAAATTTTGTGTTTAACTTGCTGAGGAGTAAAAGAAAGTAAGACTGGTCAAACCAGAGGATATGAGGGGTCAGTCTAGCTCAGGTGTCTGGTGATGGCTGAAAATAAAATGAAAAGAAGAGCAAGTACAAGGTGTACTTCTCAAGTGACTGCTGTTGCTCTGTGACTTCAGGACCTCTGAGGCAGCGTTTACTGCTGGGCTTTTAACAGTGATTATGAATCTTTTATTTCATTAGTTTTTTCTGGCCTTCCAATAATTGTTTATACTCCTGGCAAATGAAAGCGTTTTCAACAGTAAGTTCTGTATCTGACTTAAATGTAGTCTTACTGACTTTCTTATTCATTCTGAATTCTTTTCTAGTCTTACTTCCTGATTTAGAATAGCTTGTTAAATTTTGTGTAGCTTGTAGCTTGATATCCCCCTGGGCTAGTAAACAGTTTGATAGGCACTACTTTAGAGGAACACACTGTTTTCATGTTGCTCCTAGTACTGTGCACCTTTCATTCTGACAGCTGTGGAAGAAAGAGGGATTGATCCATTTTCTCTCTCAGTAAAAACTGGAGATGGGTCACAATAACCTTTGCTACAAGAAAGAGAGGTACGCGTACTATTCCTGCTCTTGCATATATGGGAAACCTCTCCTTTTTTGATTTCTCTTCGGTTTCTTTTTCCTTCCTAGGAATAATTATACTTTCACTTTCTGCTGCCATTCGTTTCCTTTTCCAGTTGGAGGAAAAAAAAACCCAACAAAATTCACGTTCTCTTCTATCTCCAGAGACCTGAATACCAGCAACGCAGCTGGCCAGTTTTGTCAGCCTCTCTCCCAAGGAACAGCCAAGTTAAATGGACAGAAACTGATTGTATGCTTTAAAATTCAGCTCTGCCTGTTACGTAGTTGGAAGGTATAAGAGTGCAAGTATAAAAGCCTGAAACTTAATTGAAAAATAACTGACCTTATCTTACAGGAATTTATTCTATACCCTTAAGTTTACCTTACTAGCAGAAAAAAAGTTTCTCTGCCTGCCTTTGCCAAGCTGAGGGCTCAAATTCTAATTATTACACAGTCAGGTGTTTAAGGGAGACTTAAATGAGGAACAAAAACTGCTGGCTAATTTAGACCACTGTGAAGTGCTGTGTAAAATTCCTAAGCAGCAAATGGAAATTTTACATTCTTACCAGCTTCTTGTTTGCTGATGAAACCCCAAACCCCTACTAGCTGTAGGTATGCACGTATTAAAAGTTTTTGCCTTTTTTTTTTTTGTATAGGTAACCTCTGGTTTTAGGCTACTAACTTGCACGTTCTTGGTCTGAAAGTAGTTTGTATTTTTATGAGATCAAGAACTTGATAGAAAGAAGGCTAAAATTCTGTCATTGTTTTCTCTTTCCAGATATGAGAAATGAGTGTTGGACGCAGAAGATTAAAGCTGCTGGGAATTCTGATGATGGTAAACATTTTTATTTATGTGATTGTAGAAGTCTCAAAAAGCGGCAGCCAAGAGAAGAATGCAAAAGGTCGTGTTATTATACCACGCAGCAAATTCTGGAGAAAATATACTCCTCACAAAGCTTATTGGAACAAACAGCAACAGAAGCTTGAACTGCTGTACAACCCTATTCTTTCCAATATGACTGTGGATGAGAACTTAGTTTCTAACTCAAGTGTTCTCAGCTCCTGTGACCCTGACCCGTGGGTACCTTCAGAAGTTAGTGACTTTGCAAACTTGCCAGACAGGTTCAAAGACTTTCTGCTTTATTTGAGATGTAGAAATTACTCACTATTAATGGATCAGCCAAACAAGTGCAAGCATAAACCTTTTCTGCTGCTGGCTATTAAGTCACTTACACCCCATTTTGATAGAAGGCAAGCAATTAGGGAGTCCTGGGGCAAGGAAATAAAATCAGGGGATGTGACAGTCAAAAGGGTCTTCTTACTTGGACAGACCCCACCAGAGGATAATTTTCCTGATCTTTCAGACATGATAAAATTTGAGAGTGAAACCCACCAAGACATTCTCCTCTGGAGCTACAGAGACACTTTCTTCAATTTAACTCTCAAAGAGGTGCTGTTTCTTAAGTGGGTCAGCAGCAGTTGCGCAGATGTCCAGTTTATTTTTAAGGGTGATGATGATGTTTTTGTGAATACCCATCAGATCCTGGATTACTTGAAGAGCTTATCAAAGGACAAAGCCAAAGACTTATTTATAGGCGATGTGATCAAAGATGCTGGACCTCATAGAGAGAAAAAATTGAAGTACTACATCCCAGAAAGTGTTTATGAAGGTTCGTATCCTCCATATGCAGGAGGCGGTGGGTTTCTGTACTCTGGTGATCTGGCATTAAGACTGAATAATGCATCTGACCAGGTACTCCTTTACCCTATTGATGATGTTTATACTGGAATGTGCCTTCAGAAGCTTGGGCTTGCTCCGGAAAAACACAAAGGCTTCAAAACATTTGATATCGAAGAGAAATACAGAAATAACATATGTTCTTACACAAACTTAATGTTAGTACATAGTAGAAAACCTCAAGAAATGATTAAGATTTGGACACGCTTGCAAGATCCACACTTAAATTGTTAATGTGCATAAGTGTCTTAAGTCCAAATAACTTTCCAGGTTTGGATCTGACTTTCTTGGTGGACCATTGAGGCTCTGTTCAATAGTTTAATTTTCTCTGGAAACTTTTTCCTGTACTTTTGAAAATGAGAATAATACTAAATTTGAGGGGATGGATTGAAGACTTGGTCCTGACTTTTCCACTGTCCTAGTGGTCATTATGTTTCAATATTCATCTTAATTTTAAAAAGGACTTACAGGATGTAATTAGTTGTCAGTGACTGGTTAGCTGTATTGGAAACAGGGATTGCCTACTACAATGCATCTTTCATTAATTGTGATGGTGGAAGATAATTTTTTCCTTGAGTAGTGTTTGTGTGTGGAAACCACTGTAAATTGAAAGCTCACAAATTGGAGGAATGTAGTTTTACTTTAAGTATGAAATGCTCTTATGAGACTTTAACTATTGATTTTCTTAATTTATAGTTTTCAGTCTTTTTGCACCCCAGAACAGTATTTTCTCCTTTACTTACGATCTTTTGTGCAAAGCGTGCCTGTGTCTGAAGGATTTACTCATTTATTGGATGATGCTTTTTTTACAAAAGGGTTTGAAACACCCCATAGAAGAGCTGAATATACAAGGAAAAGGAAGAACAGATTTTGTTTGGAGCTGGGCAGTTAAGTACAGCTAGGTCCACCCCCTGCCCAAAGCTTACGTGAGGTAAAGCTGACTTTGTTGCTCATGTTATTTATGTGAAAAGCTGCTCTGGTCAGTCCTTGTTTTCTGTTTTGGCACTAAATGTGATCAGGTAGCTTGATTTGATGCAAATAACTGAAATTGCACATTGCTTACAAGAGCATGGTTTGGATCTCCTGTAAAGCGGTAGCAAATCTAGAATTGTGCAGATCCTAAGAGTTTTGAATTTTGAAACAAACTTTGAAGTTGCATGATGTCTCATGTAGAGTTAAACATGTTCTCAAAACTCAGATTTTCTTCTGTATTTCCACATCTTGCTTATAAGAGTTATTCTAAATAGTGGTTGCTTCCTTTGTATATGTAGAAGTGCCTGTCTATTTATTGTTCAGATTGAAGACCAAAACTTTTTCTTAAAATATATTTTGTGTAACATTTTATTTGTATAGTGTTGTCACTCAGATATTTAAAAAGAGCATGATATTTTAAATCTGTGAGATGTGTAACATGTTAAATAAAGCTAATTGCTATTTTTGAATTTGAAAAATAAATCGTGATTTAAATATTTCTTGTAATGCTTCATTTGAGACATAATGTTGACTTACAGAGCAGTTGCACTCTGCTCCAAGGCATTCAGTAACTACGCCTTTCAGAAGTTCAGAAGCAAAAGGCTTTATTCATAACTTTCTCTAATGCTTATGTAGTAGACTGTCAAGAAAATGTCACAATTGTGCATGGATTTGTTAGATGGACAACTCTGGCAAAAGCACGGGAACATTAAGTGCCCTAAGAAAAATTGTATGTACACAAATAATTGCCTGTACAATAACATTGCTTGTACAATTGAAAGGAGTCAAGGAATGGATTGAATGGCTGGCACTTTAGTTTTTGTTTGAAATAACTTGGCAGCTACAACTCTTTTGGCTTCTTCACCTGCTTTCTTGTTCCTTCGTTTACCTTGAAGAACAGGTGTGGTGCCTTATTTTTTTGTTTGGGGGAAGGTGAGGTCTTTTGGTCTTCCACCTTTCTGTCCTGTAGATGTTCACTGTCAACCCCCAGGACAGATCACAGACAGACTGTGCTCTGGTATTGTGCCATGAGGTTTGGCCCCTGTGCCTTGTCATTCCTCATGAGAAATTACACCTTTGTGAAAGAGCTGTAGGTTTTACTGTGCATGTGTTACTTCCTACTCTGTTCTTCCTAGCCATGCTAAGCACCCTGTTTCTTTCTAAATATTAGTGGGGATTTTGTCAAGAGTTTGGGCCAAGTGAAAGGAGAGAAGTTATGCTGATGATGGGGAATGCAAGCAGAGATGTGATGTTAAGAGTCTTCATGGACTAGAGAGAGAGAGAGAGAGAGGGAGAGGAAAAGGAATTAATTCTTGTGAGTAAGATGGATCGGAGTGCACATGTGATACTAACCTGTTAGTGAAATGGATGGGATTGGTGGAGTGCCAGCATTAATTATTTACCCTTCCTGTAACCATGAGATTAAAAACAGGCCCCTTGTATAGGAAAAATGGGCTGAGTGGTACCTGCCAGGAAGAAATGCCGTGAGAAAGCATCTAGTGACTAGAGAAGAGGAAGAGGGGAGAGGAAAAGACTGAGCAGGTGGCCCCAGCGGGCGAAATGGGTAAAAGGTACTGGAGAAGAAATAGGGCAGACTAGTCTTGTTTACTGTGGGTGTGGAGAAGCAGTGGTGACTGTACTGTCCGATTGAGTCTTCAGTCCACTCCCATGAAGAAAGAATTGTCTTGACAAAGAATGGGGAGTGTGTGGGGTAAAGAGCAAGTGACATAAACAAAAACAGAGATAAGGAAACAGAAGGCAACCAAAAGAAACAACGTGTGGTGGGAACGGAAGATGAAAAGTCTTTAAAAAGCAGATGCAGTATTACGTTGTTCTATCTGGGTTTGGTTGGGTTTTGTGTTTGGTTTTGTTTTTGTTGTGGTTCCTGGTTTTTGGAGCATTTCTTGAGTACTAGGTACTTTTAAATGAAAAGTGAAAGTAACATAATTAAATCAGGAATAATTTTTTTTAATATGGATTGATTTCCAATGAAGTAAACTTACAGTTGAGGAAACAATGAGCAACAGTGGTAACTACTATAAAATAAGTATATGAAAATTTTTTTTAATTACTTAGTGAAAAGTGATCTGGGAAATACAGGGAGCTAAAGATGGATTTTTATTTTTCTTAAATTTAAGGGAGAGTCTACTAAGATGAAAGCATGAGAAAGTCTGACTACAATGAGAATAATGGGAATAATGGAATTTGAACACTGAAATAAGAGGTGTTTAGATGTGACAGTTGAATGTGGATGCAGTTTTTTGGTTTTTTTTTTTTTTCTTCCCTGAGTACAGCAAATGAAGTGCTTCTGTGATTAAATGACATTGCATCAGGCTAAGCCATTAGAATCCATTAGCTCATTTGTATAAAGGCTCAGGCCTTTGCTTCTAAATTCAGTTGGGAGGAGGAAATACAGGCCTTTGGATAAAGAAGGTAAATGAGCTATAATTAATGCACAAATTATAATGTTTATCTTCTAGAGGATGGAGTCCCTTTTTCCTAAATAAAAAAATTTGTGCCAGTTGGTTACTTGGACTGTATGCACTTAGACTTGGATCCCTTCTCTCCCTACCCAGTTTTATTTTGTTATGTAGGCTTGAGTGAAATGTAGCACTTGACAGGAGTGGTGATAACAGAATTCCTGACAATCCTTTCTGCTTTTCAGTGTTGGAAGCACTGAAAGCCAAACTTGAAAAGAGTTTTGGCTGGAGAATACAAGAAAGATGCAGACTAGAATTTAGTAGAACTTCTGTGTTAGGTACACAATTCAACAAGGATCCACATGCAGGTACTTCTTAATTTTGGGCTTTGTGATGTGGTAATGAGCAATCTATCTCTTATCTGGTGCTGCTGTTATGCTGATTGAGCTGACAGTAAGCAGTTTACTCCCTGAAATCTGGCCTCCTTTCCCTTCCGGCTTGTTACACCTCATATGCATAAAATTTCCACTGTAGTTGCGTTTGCCTGAGGGCACCAATCCAAATGAGTTCATGTCTACACTGAACTATTTCCTCCTCACATCACAATCATGAAACCAACTTAGCAAGCAGATAGGGCTGGAAGAGCTGCTTAATGGATCCTTGTTATGGACAGTAATGCACAGAGGTGGTCTGAAAGGAGGAATGTCAATCGGCATGAGCACAAAACATCACTCTTCAAATTCTCTTCAGCCTCTTCCTCAAACTTTTTAAAGCTGTTGCCCTGTTTCTTGCTGGATGAAGATGAGAACAGGAGTGGGAGTGAGAACTTAGTAAAGCATGTGCGGTTCTGGAAGCCAAGTCATGGCCCACAAAGCCCCGTGCTATGCAAAGAGAGACATCTGCTAGTGGTTTTCCCAAGAAGGAAAGTTGAAGAAAGACAGGGTCGGAAAGAGCCAGTCTTGATCTTAACCTCACAGGAACATTTTGATGTCTTGTAGCTCCACATCACATTACAAACTGTATGCTGAGAGAGTTAAGCAAATTCTCTGCATGTCGGGGTGATTAAATACTAAGCAGGTCAGTTTTTCTTTTCTTTTGTTGTGCTCAGACCAGGTCTTTGGTTGCTAATCACAGTTTATAATATTTGTATTGGCCCAGCCTGCTCAAAGTAGTGTTTAAACAACTTTGGCTAGACTCTGCTGAGGGATGGCTGAACAGCACCTTGTGGAGTTTGCACGCCAGCCTTTTCAAAAGATTTAGTCTGTTTTCATTTGTCGATGAAGACCTTTGTACCCTGTCTTAACATGTGACTGAACAAGGTGAGTTGGATAAAAGCTGGCCTTTGTGCGTTAGCCTTCACTTCAGGATCTGTTAACGCTTATGTAAGTATGGAACAAACCTCTGTGATCTCAATTTTTGCTCCATTTTCCATATTTGTGTGTTACTGCAGTTACCTATGTCTTTCCTTTTTTTTTTTTTTTTTTTAATTGCCCTCCTGCCTGAGGACTTCAGACCATGAGTTATCTGCTTATAACTCAGCACCCTTCCCTGCTGCAGGGGCGGGGGCACTTGGCAGCATGCAGCATCTTTGCTCTCTGAAGAACTGTGGAGGGAGGCCCCAAAACTTGCCCGTGTAAGTTTATAGCCCAATTTTCTGTTCAGGTCAGCAGTTGCGTGTCTGATGTGTGTTACGATCGCAGAAGCCTGATAAATGTCGCTCAGTTCTGACCTTGGGTGTATTGGGATGTCAGTTTTGTGGTGGCACAAAAGGCATTCATTCAGCCCCGAAGGACAACAAAGAGATGGGATCTCTCCTGCTGCCGTTGGTTGAGTTCTGTGAAGTTACTGATCTTAGGTCAGGCCCTTCTCTCCCTCTTACCCTGCTCTCTTGAGAGGGCATTCATATGAATACATACTGAATTTCCTGTTAAAGATCGATCATGATAGAAATTTGCACAATCTCAAATTTTATAGAGAGAAAATTCCTAATCGGTTCTCTAATTTCTAGGCTCCTTGACTCCCTCTGTTTCTTCAATCGGTGACCTGCATCACTCTT